TTTTTTTTTTTTTTTTTTGCGTTGGTGACCACTGCACTGCTCCGGGTGCACCGCACACTTGCGCCGCAGGTAGGAAACAAAACCAAAGTTACCAAAGCCCCTCGTAGACTTTCCAGGCCTTCCGGATCGTTGGCGAGGGGGATAAAAATCAGGCAGCATTTTTTGGGGGTGGCCCAGGGCGTGAACAAACGCCGTGGACCACCCAAAAAATTTTGCCCTTTGGGCTGGGGCCCACACATCCGGATCGAGATCCGGACTCGGATCCCGAACCCCGGACCACGGACGGTCTGGATCCCTGTCCGGTGGTCCGGATCGTAGCCATGCCTCCAAGTGTCTGGGACTCCTGCCCAGTACCTGTTGTTGCAAAGTGTGTGCTGCTTGGGCCAATGGCCTGTCCTTTGGACTTCTGGTCTGAATCAGGACTGACCCGTGGGACTGTGACTGGACTGGGACTGTGGCTTTTTGACTTATTGCCGAACAAACATGACTTATCGTCGAGCAGACATGACCCTAACTCAGTCTTGAAATCTGTGTCCTAAACCTGTTCGTCCAGGACCTGCTCGTGACTGTTCAAAACGACTTTTCAGTTCATTATGGATGCGATATTTGCCTCAGAAACTTGTCTTTTGCAATATTGCTCGTGAAATTGAGTTCAGGCCGAGAGGGCCCTTTTCATGCAGGGGTCACTTTTACGGGCCTGAATCGTAAAGGCCCTTTTAAAACCGTGGGACGCTGAAAAATAAACCCGCGGGGTTAGGACCCGAAACCAAGGAACCACTGAACCCCTAGACCAGAGCTGTGTGATACTACTTTTTATATTTTTATTAATTTATTACATTGTGCTGCTGTATATTATTTTATTATTATAATTGTGTCCAAATCAAAAAAGATACGTGACAATTTTATTTAATCAGTTTGAGGGCAGAGAACAAAATGTCCGACAGTCTGAGGAGAGGAAGAAAGATATGGGTGTGGCTGTACAGATGTGAAGATGAATGGCCATACAACAGTGTTACAACTTTTTCTTTTTCTTTTTCTTTTTCTTTTTTAAAGCGTAATTCACATGGCCATTTTTCTTTTCCCGATCAAGAAAGTGGTTAGCCCATAACGATATTGTAAACATTATTTATGGTACTTGGAAGTATTCAAAATTTTAATTTAATTTTATTTTTGCTTTTAGTTGCTGTCAATTTAAAAATTTTAGATTTTATTTTATTTTTGCTTTTAATTGCGGTCAATCATTTGCTTTATTCATACTCACTGTAGCTGCTGCAGAATCTGCTATTGGGCTCACTATTCTTGTTATCAGTTTCGAATTCGTGGCACTGTTGAAATCTACCCAAACCAATTAATTCATGTAGTGTCATGTAAGAGTCTCATTCACAGACGTGAAAGAAAACCAAGTCAAATTACGCACAGGCGATGCATCAAGGCAAAGTGCGAATCAAAGGAAACCTCGAAAATTACGGCAAATAAGCTTTCCGCATTCCCAAGAACCAATCGTTCCACATATCCGACGTCCACCACCTTAAACCAGCCCCCCCCCTCATTGCCTAAAGTCGACTTCCCGGGGAGTTAGGGGCGCAAAAAGTGGTACGGCGGCGACCTTTTTTATTCGGGTTGGGACGGTTCCCAACGGTGTGCACACACCCCTTGAGGTGAAAGACGGGGGGGTTCGATACTCCGGTGACAGCGGGGGAGGGTCGAAAACGGCAGGTGCGAAGTTGGCGGGGCCGACTTACGCGACAGTAGATGAAAAAAAAAAAAACTCCGTCGGGCCGCTGGATATTGGGCCTCGCTGCAGTACTCTCTGCATGCAAAACGGGCAAAAATCCTTGTGGTGTATCTTTCCCTATTGTAGAGGAAGATTCACTCTAGTTTTGGACATTTCGAGAGTACTGCAGCGAGGCCCATTCTTTCCACGGCGGGAGTGCGCCGCCGGGCCAGCTT